TTCCCAGGACAGCTGATGCCTGAGGCTCTCTGAGGGGCAACAGCTTGTTTAGTTGCACCTTACAATGAAGGCCAGGTGTGCTCAGGTGAGGGTGAGACAGTGGTGTCTGTGGATGCCGTGGGGAGGGTCAGTCCTCCCATCCAGCTGTCCTCACAGTTCCAGACTAGCCAAAGCTGGACGTATCAGTGATGGTGACAGTTAATTCAACAAGTTTGACCAAGTACCTACTATGGGCCCAGCATTGTTTTAGTTGCTGAACATTACATAATAATGGGAAGCATTAAGAAATCACTGGATGTGTGCATCACCACCCAAAGCCCAGTGAGGAGTTCTTATTACTATTAGGATCATCCCATTTTAGAGGTGAGGACAATGAGACAGGGAGGTGATCTGCCCTAAGTCACATGGGAAGGAAGTGACAGAGCCAAGCTGGATATCCAGGTGGTCTGACCTGTACTTGGACCCCTGCTCTGCTGCCTGCTCAGGAAGGGGGGCGCTGAGAGGATGGGGTCTGCCCCTGCCTGCAGCCCCTGCCGCTGGCTGCCAGGAGGGTGGAGCTCTTGGCCAGAGCAGGGAGGGAGCCGGAGCAGTTCCCAGGAATGTGGGGCCGTTTGCTTTGGCAGCATATCTGCCCTCGGCTCTCCAAGCCTCCCTGTGCCCCCCCCCCCACAAGCTGGCCCCTCCAGCGCCCACCCACTGCCTGCTGCCCCTCCTAGGCTTTGTACCTAGCTCCCACAAACCCCTGAGCAGGGAGGGGGTGCCAAGCGGGAGCCCTTTTTCCTGCCCCTCCCCACATCCTTGGGCGAAGGAGGGGCTGATAGCGAACTTGGCTTCTGGACTCACCTGGGCTTGAAATCCAGTTCTGCCACAGACAAGCTGTGTGACCTTGGACAGGTCACTTAATCTCCCTGAGCTTCAGTTGTGACATCTGTAAAATGGGGGTGGCCAGCACCTGCCTTAACAGGTGGCTGTTGGTCCTGTTGTCATGTAATATTCACCCGAGGCTTCCAGCCGGCTTGCTCCCCGCCCCAGCGCTGTTTCCCCATCCATGAGAACTGCATGTTGATAGCCATGATCCCAGTCACCAAACACCCTGGCACCCACAGAGCACAGGGGAGGCTGGGGGCTTACTTCCTCTTTCCATGCGATACCAAGAAAGCCACTGGACTTTTGAGAGGTGCATCTTGGACCCTTGTCCCCAGGTTCTAGGCTAGATGGGCCATGGCTGACCAAAGGGCAGTTTCAGGACCACGGGGGCAATAAGGGGTGTCCCTTACATGGCCCCATGCTGCTGTGGGGTGGGCAGGGAGAGCCCCCATCTTACAGAGAGCCCTGTCCTCTCTGCTTCTGGCCAGGAGCCCCTGAGTGCTTCTCAGGGTGCTTCTCAGGCACTTCTGAGTGCCTAGCTGTCCCCCTCCACCTACACAGGCTGCTCTTCAAGCTCCGGGCCAGCCAGCTGACCTCCCCCAAGCAGGGAAGGAGCGGCTTTATCCAGAGCGGAGTCCAGCCCACTCCCGTGAGTCTGGTGAGCTCGAGCCTCAGTTTCCCCATGTTTACGACAGGGGCAACGACGGCCTCTACTCCCAGTAGGGGTTTTAGAGGGTTCGGAGAATTCCTGGACAGCTGGTGCCTGGCACACGGTAAGTGTTGGACTCATGCTGAACACCCCCCGCCCCCGCCCCCGGGATGTGTCCCACCCCACGCCACAGCGCCCCCGCGGAGTCCGTGCGCGGTCCGGGCCTCGGTTTCCCCCGCCCCCCGCGCTCGCCCCGCCCGCTGCGGGTGGGCTCGGCCGCCAGGTAGGCCGGGCCGGGCGGGGGCGCTCTCCGGGCGCTGCAGCTGGGGGCCGTCTGCGCGCGGCGGGGCGGGCGCACAATAGCGGCCATTGTCTGGGCCAGGCCGGCGGGGCGGGCGCGGCGGGCGCGGCGGGCGGGGGCCGGGCCCCGGGGTGGGGGCACGGGGGGGAGCCAGCGCGGCCCACCCTCGGGGTGACCCCCGCCCCCCGGGGACGCCGGTCGGGGTCCCGCGCCCGCCCCGCCGCCCCGGTGGTCCCCGCGCCGCCCCGCTTCCTCCCGCTCCCCGGGCTCTAATTAGTTCCTTTCGCAGCTGGAGCAGCGGCGCGGCGCCCGGCAGCGCGACCACCTCGGCGCCGCCTCCCCGCCCGCCTGCGGCGAGGGGGTCGCGCCCGACCGCCGCCCCGCCGCGGGCTCCGCCGCCGGTTAGGTTCCGAAGCTCGCCTGCCCCCTCGGAGCCGTGCGCGTCACCCTTCGGAGCGGCCCTGGCCTCCTCTGGGAAACGCGACGCCCGAGTGTCCCCCTCCCGCCCGCCCCAGCCCGCCTGGGTGTCGGGAGCGTCGAATCGGGTGCCGGCGTGGCTGGCCTCCGCAAGTTCCGGGCCCTGCCGCTTTCCCCTCTGGGCCTCCGAAGCCCAGGCGAGTGCCACCCTGGCTATCGCCTTCCCGGACCCTTCACCCAGCCCCTGAACAAGGGGAACAAAGAGCAGAGCCCCGCTTCAGAAATGGCCTCTGCAAGCTGGGGGGTGGGGAGTGGAAGGAGACACCTTGAAGTTGGCCAAGGTCAGGACAGGAGAGAGGTCATGGGGTCTTTCCCCTGGTGTGGGGCCACCTTTGGGAGGACAATTCTGGGTGGGGCCAGCCTGGGGTTGGGGGATGCTGAGAGCTTTTGGGGTGGCTTCTTCCTTGGGGGGGGCCTGGGCCTCTGGACTGTGTTCTGGGTTCTTCCATCGGAATGAATCCCTGCCTCCCTGGGCAGAACCCAGTGACAGGAAGTGTGTGTGTGTGGGGGGGGGGTTCTCTGCTGGGGACTGGGCCTGCTGATTAAGGAGGGTGCTGGAGTCCCCACTCCCACCTGGGTACTGTGCCTGCCCTGTCCCAGGAAACAGGCTCCTCTCGCGGGGCCTTCCTAGTTGCATGTCGAGGCATGTCTGCTGCAGGTCTTCAGCACAAGGTGACCCAGGGTCTAGGGCTCCTCCCTGGACCCCGTCTGGCCTGGGGTGGAGGAGAGTAGGGCAGATGCCAAAGGATGTTACCTGGACAGGGTTGCCAATCAAAGTGTCAGTTTGAATTCCCAGTTCCCAGACCATCCTGCCCGCATTGTCCCCTTGTCTGGAAGGTCCGGTTGGGGGTGGGGGATGGAGGCTGTGGGGAGGCCTGTGGCCCTAGGCCAGCTGAAGGACCAGGCCACCAGCCCTTCCTGGCTCCTGAATTCTTAATCAGCATAAATATTTACTTCCTTCCTCCCCTTCTAGGCTCCCAGCACAGAGGAGCTTCAGGGAGGTTGGACTGGGCCTGTGTCTAAAAATAAACAGGTGGAGGGACAGGCAGACAGACAGACATAACTGGGGGAGGGGGGTCAGGCAGAGGGCAGCTCCCTGCCCAGCCAGAGGGAGAGTGGAAGGGGCCCAGGTTCATCCATCACTGTCACCCACCCACCTGCCTGCCTTGGGTAACTCCTAAAGGGCAGGGTGGCAGCCTGATCCCACTTGCATCGCTGGGAGCCCCTGGCCCATGCATGGCCTGGGAGGCAAATCCAAACAGATCTGACTGCTCCCACCTGATGCAGTTTAACTGGGACAAGTCAGGTCACAGACTGGGTCCCATGACCAAGTGTAGCTGCCCCTCCTTGGGCTCCGATATTTAGCCATGTGCTGGTAGGGTCTTGGGATGTCCTCGAAGCAGAGGGTCCTAACTGAGGTAGGGGACTGCCTTGTTCCCTGTGTGCTTGGAGGGTCTTGGCAGAAGGAGAGCTTGTCAGGGGAGATGGATGGGCCAGGACTTGTGACCAGAGAAAACTGTTTATAATGTTGCTGAGGTGCATGGCCTGGAAAAAAGATGAGTGGGGACATAAGGGCTGTCTTCCTCCTTCCGGCTCCATGAAGCAGCTCTGCATACATGGGAGGCATGTGCATGTGCACACACACACACACACGCATGCACAGCTGAGATGTATGATCATTTACCATGTGGTGGTTACAGGGGTGTTCTGTTTTAAATTATGAAAACGTGGATTTGGTGAATGACATGGAGTATCTCATGGTATTGGCTTGTTTAGCGGGCAGATTTTCAGGGTGTAATCATCTCAATTAGCAAATGCAAGGATACACTTCGACCACACGTGGAAAGGTTGCCCTTGGAAAAAGTTTGAGTTTGGAATAGAGAGTTGACCTTGCTCTTGAGTCATTTGAATGTGAAAAAACTCACACCATTGAGAAGTTTTAAGGAACCATGAAAATACCAGCATGAGAACTTGTAATAAAAGAATATCATCACCACTGGAAAAAAAAATGATGTATACATCTTTTTCATTAACCACCGGACAGAGCTGGTCCACTTCCCTCCAGCCCTGTCCCTGGCCAGCCTGGCTGGGCCACAGTCTCCAGCTGCCCCCTGGTGGCGGCCCAGACCCCTCTGGCTCCCCGGGCCTATGGGCACCTCTTTTCTGGACCTCACCTGAGAGGCAAGGCCCCCTGCCTTCACCCCCATCCCTTGGGCCAGGCTCTGCACAGCTCTCCTGAGGCAAGGTCTCAGCCTCCTTCCCTTGCAGGTGACCACAGCTGCCTGGGAGGCCCCACACAGCAAGCCCTTGGCGATCAGTAGCTGAGAACCACTAATGGCTAGACACTCATTGCTCTTTTGGTCTGGTTCTGGGTCCTCAGGCTCAAACCAGGCATGTGATCCTGAGCATGACTTTCCACTTGGTCAGAAATGACCTTTGGGACCTGGCTGACCAGTTCCAGGGAAACCTGGCTTTGAAGCTGGTAGCTCTGCCACTTCTTAGCTCTGTGACCTGAGGCAGTGTCTCTAAAACTCAGTTTCATGGCAAAATGGACTCTCTGAGCTTTGCCTCCTGAAAAGACTTGAGGGCAGTGGACGTGGAAGCTCTTAGTAGGTGTTTGGCGCTCCTCATGTGACCCAGGGCCAGAGCCAGAGGGTCCCCCTTCCCAAGAAGACAGCGCTCACGCTGCCACACATCCATGCCTCCCTCCCCTGGTGGCTTCCGTGGGTGCAGCCTGAGAAGCCTGAAGTCACAGTGTCACAGCACAGCTCCTGTCCTCCCCCAGGTTCCTGCCTGAATACCAGCTTGGGAGCTCTCCACTGCCTGCAGCCACCTCCGACCAGCCCCTCATCACCATGCACTCCTTGGACGAGCCGCTCGACCTGAAGCTGAGCATCACCAAGCTCCGAGCGGCGAGAGAAAAGCGGGAGAGGACGCTGAGTGTGGTCCGGCACCGGGCTCTGCACAGGGACCTCGGCCTGGTGGATGACAGCCCCACCCCAGGCTCTCCGGGCTCCCCGCCCTCAGGTACGGTGCCCCGGGCAGGGTGGGGGTGGGTGTCTCAGGCCCTGATGGAGCTGTGGCAATGGGAAGAACGTCCAAGGTGTGTCCCCCAGGATGTAAGCAGGCCCCTTGCAGCTTTCAGCTTAGAGCTAGAGCTCTGTCCATTTATCCTCCCAGCAGTTTGTCTCTGGAGGTGACCCTGTCCCTGGGGGGAGGCAACTGACCTGCCCCGTTCATGAAGCTGGCCCAGCAGAGCCAGGATTCAAACTAGGCCTCGGGGAGGACATGGAGGCACTGGTAAGGGGGAGCAGGGGATTCACAAGCGGTGACTGAGGCCCTGTGACCCAACTCCTGGGCTTTGAGGCAGAGTGGCTGGTCAGTCAGGTCCGTGCAGACTGGGGACTGAGCCCAGCAAGTGCCTCTCAGCAGGTGCTTGGGGCTCAGGACTTCCACTCTGCCTCCTCTGGACCCTGAAAACCAGACCCACCATGTCTGAGCTAGAAGGCTCTGGAAGCAGCCCGGCCCAAACCCCTCCTGTTACAGAAGGGCGCAGCGAGGCAGGAAGGGCCCAGGAAAAGTCAGAAAGGTCCCTACCTGCCAGGGTGACAGCAAGCCAGGAGCCTGGCTTCAAGTTCCTGTTCAGTGGGTACTTTCCACTTCCTGTCTCACCTAACGGCTGAGCTCTCATGGTGGCAAAGGTCCCATTTGTCACTTGTGCAGGCTGCTGCTGAGATGCTTGGGGTCCCAGGGTGGTCTGGGGGTGTGGCTGTTATCTGCTTTCAGGGTTCGGACGACTCCCAGCTCCAGCACCCCTGAATAGTGCTTCTCCCTTAGGCTTCCTGCTGAACCCCAAGTTCCCTGAGAAGGTAGAGGGACGCTTTTCAGCGGCCCCCCTGGTGGACCTCAGCTTGTCACCGCCGTCTGGGCTGGATTCCCCCAATGGCAGCAGCTCGCTGTCCCCTGAGCGCCAGGGCAACGGGGACCTGCCTGCGGTGCCCACTGCCCCGGTAAGGAGGGAGTACGGGTTCTGGAAAAGTGGTCTATTGGTTTCCTGGAAAAGACCATAAACTGGGTGGCTTAGAACAACAGAAATGTATTATTCTGTCACAGTTCTGGAAGCGGAAGTCTGAAGTCAAGGTATTGATGGGGCTGTGCTCCCTCCAAAGGCTCTGGGCAAGAATCTTTCCTTGCTTCTTTCCAGCTTCTGGTGGCTCCCGGCGTCCCCTGCCTCGTAGCAGTGTCATTCCAATCTCTGCCCCTCGTGCCACCTTGCCTTCCTGCTTCCGTTGTGTGTGTCTGAGTTCAAATCTCCCTTTCTCTTATGAAGACATCCGTCACTGGATTTAGTTCTCCCCAACCCCGTATGACTTTTTTTTTGAGAGGGAGAGAGAGAGCAGGGGTGGGGGCAGAGGGAGAGGATCTTTTTTTTTTTTTAATTTTATTTATTTATTTGACAGAGAGGGAACACAAGCAGGGGGAGTGGGAGAGGTAGAAGCAGGCTTCCCGCCGAGCAGGGAGCCCGATGTGGGGCTCGATCCCAGGACCCTGGGATCATGACCTGAGCCGAAGGCAGACGCTTAACGACTGAGCCACCCAGGCGCCCGGGAGAGAATCTTAAAAGCAGGCTCTATGCCCAGTGTGGAGCCGAAGCTGGGTTTGATCTCACGACCCTGAGATTATGACCTGAGCTGAAATCAAGAGCCAGACACTTAGCCGACTGAGCCACGCAGGCACTCCCAGTATGACTTCTTCTTAACCTGATTGCATGTGCAGAGACCGTATTGCCAACTAGGGTCATACCCACAGGTACAAGGGGTTGGGACTGGGACAACTCAACCTGCCACAGGAGACAGAGGGGGTGTAGGCCTCCTGGCCCAGCAGGGAGCACTGACCCGCTCTGCCTTTCCCCTGTCCCCCAGGACTTCCAGCCACTGCGCTATCTAGACGGCGTCCCCAGTTCCTTCCAGTTCTTCCTGCCTCTGGGCTCCGGGGGGGCCCTGCACCTGCCTGCTTCCTCCTTCCTCACCACCCCCAAGGACAAGTGCCTCTCATCAGAGCTCCCCCTGCCCAAACAGCTGGTGTGTCGCTGGGCCAAGGTGAGTGGGGGGGCCAGAAACAGGGGGACCAGGGCCGGGGTGGGCGGCCCCACACAGACTCAGAATCCTCCCTGGCCCCACAGTGTAACCAGCTCTTTGAGCTCCTGCAAGACCTGGTGGATCATGTCAACGACTACCATGTCAAGCCTGAGAAAGACGCAGGGTACTGCTGTCACTGGGAGGGCTGTGCCCGTCATGGCCGAGGCTTCAATGCCAGGTGAGGGAGGGCGAGGGGGGGGGCTTGGGGGGGCAGGGGGGGCTCAGGTGTCTGGCGAGCTGCGTCGAGCTCCCCTGTGCCCTCCCTGGAGCAGGTACAAGATGCTCATCCACATCCGCACACACACCAACGAGAAGCCGCACCGCTGCCCCACCTGCAGCAAGAGCTTCTCTCGCCTGGAGAATCTGAAGATCCACAACCGCTCGCACACAGGTGAGCGGCTGGCCGGGGGGCTGAGCGGTGGAGAGGTGAGGGACGCGTCCCTTCTCGAGTGCCACTTCTGGGGGGCGCCCCTCAGTATCCACTCCTGGAGCACGGACACATCTCCTGTGTGGCATCAGCACCGTCGTCATGTGATTGACCGACAGATGCCACCCGTGAGGTGCGCGCTCGCTCCTCGCTGTGCTCCAGCACACGGTGGGGCCAGCTCTGGTGACGGAGCCACATACCTAATTTTAAATTTCCTAACTGCAAAAAAAAAAAAAAAAAAAAAAATCCAAATTGCTGCACAATTTGGAATAGGTGAATTGAATTGTAATGAAATATTTTCTTGAATCCGATATATTAAAAAGGGATCAGTGAGACACTGGAATTAATTTTGTGCGAAGTCTGGAATCGCAGTCTGGGAAGTATCTTTCCCCTCACTCGCAGCACATGTCAGTGTGGGCCAGCCACACTTCAAAGGCGCACCAAGAGTGGCTACCAGACATTTAGTCAGTCTGGAGGCATTTTGCTGCGCCAGGACCAAATACAGCGCAGTGGGCATTCCTGCAGTGCTCACTGCGGGCCACCTCCCAGCAGGGGCTTCCCGGAAGTATGTAAGCAGATTTGTGGTCCTGCCTTTTGAAGTGGTCGCTGTCATCCCCAATCTGGAGCACACGAGTGAGGCCAGAGGCACACAGCCAGGCCAGAGCAGAGCTGGGAGTGACCGAGTGGGCTTCTCAGTGGCTATGCCCCGCTGTCCCCACCTGGGATCAGATCCTGTGCTGGGGGCTGGGAAAACCATCCCCCACATCAGACAGTCCGTGATCTCAGGGGGATCTTGGTCCAGGGTGAGGGGCCTGGGGCGGCCCGGAGTGGGGCTGGGGCTAGGAGCCTGGGCTGCGGAGAGGCCCCTCATGCCCCACTCCGCCCCGCAGGTGAGAAGCCCTATGTCTGCCCCTACGAGGGCTGCAGCAAGCGCTACTCCAACTCGAGCGACCGCTTCAAGCACACGCGCACCCACTACGTAGACAAGCCCTACTACTGCAAGATGCCCGGCTGCCACAAGCGCTACACAGACCCCAGCTCGCTGCGCAAGCACATCAAGGCCCACGGCCACTTCGTGTCTCACGAGCAGCAAGAGCTCCTGCAACTGCGCCCACCCCCCAAACCACCGCTGCCCACCCCTGACGGCGGCCCCTATGTCAGCGGAGCCCAGATCATCATCCCCAACCCTGCTGCCCTTTTTGGAGGCCCTGGCCTCCCTGGCCTGCCCCTGCCCCTGGCCCCTGGCCCCCTTGACCTCAGTGCCCTGGCCTGCGGCAATGGCGGGGGCGGTGGGGGAGCGGGGGCAATGGGCCCCGGGCTGCCGGGCCCCGTCTTGCCCCTCAATCTGGCCAAGAACCCGCTGCTGCCCTCACCCTTTGGGGCTGGTGGACTGGGCCTGCCTGTGGTCTCCCTCCTCGCTGGCTCCGCTGGCGGCAAGGCCGAGGGGGAGAAGGGGCGTGGGGCAGTGCCAGCCAGGTCTCTGGGCATGGAGGGCCGCAAGACGCCCCTGGAGAGAACTGAGAACAGCCGCTCCCGGCCAAGCCCTGACGGACTCCCCCTGCTGCCGGGCACGGTGCTGGACCTGTCCACGGGTGTCAACTCGGCGGCCAGCAGCCCAGAGGCACTCGCTCCTGGTTGGGTGGTCATCCCACCGGGCTCCGTGCTGCTCAAACCGGCCGTGGTGAACTGAACCCACCTGCAGGACGGCTACCTGCAGCCCAGCTAGCAGCTCCCAGCCCTGCCCCTGACGAACGGAAACTCTTCTGCGAAATAGCAATAATGTCCTCCTGCCCCTGGGGCCTGCCCTGTGTCCCCCAGGCGGACCCAGCCCCAGACAAGCTGGGCAGCAAGGATGGTGCTAGAAGGTCATTGGTGGTGTCCCAGGCTCTGGAGGGGGAGCTGGTCCTGCCAGCCAGGGAGAGCCGTGCTCCTGGGTGCTGGGTGCTGAGGCCTCACTCACCTCTGGCCCTCCCCCTGCCCTGTCCTCCACCTAGCCCCCCGTGCCTCCCTCAACCAGTCGCCAGCCTGGGTAGGGCGCCCTCCCACCCTGCCTTGCCCACCTGCCAGCCATGTCCCCGTCCTGCCTAGCCTCTCTGGGCCCCTACTCTGGGGGCTTCCTGGACCCCTTTCTCTCTGGCCCACCCTCCAGAGGGAGAGCAAGACAGACGCAGGCAAAGCCACAGGAAGAAGCCACCTTATCCCTATGACAAGGCGCCTCCAAACTCAAGAGAGGGAGGCCCGCTCTGCCAGCTGCCCCCCCCTGCCACTAGCCCGTCCAAAAACAGCCAGCACTACCTGAGGGTCAGCCCCCTCTCTGGGCCGGATGCTCTCCCAAGTGAGGGGACTGTGACCACTCACCTGCCCCTTCGCTGCTGGGCCTTCTCCCTCTATTTTCAGGGAGCCCTGGGAGTGTGGGCAGTGGAGCCCTGAGTGAGAAAGGGAGATGCCAGGACCCTGGGCCCTCGCTTGGCTCAGGGAACAGGTGGGGCAGGGCCTGGCCTGGGGCGGTGCCACTGCACAAGGGACTGTGGTGGCTTGCAGGGTGTCAGGAGGTGGGAGGCTGGCTGGGGACAACCCCAGGCTGGGACACAGCTCCCATTCTGGGGGTGCCAAGTCACAGCCAGCACACAGGGGAGGGAGGGCTCCAGGCCAGTGCTGGGCATGGGAGCTTTCCAGAGGCCATGGACTGAAAGCCCTGGGCTTGGGGGTTGAAGCAAACAAGGATGGCCATGGAAGGGCCCAAGCCCTCTGCCTGGGAAGGGGAAGCTGGAGGAAGGAGCCTGGGTTTACAACATGGCTGTTTGCTTTGGCTTTCTCTGCTGAGCCTGTCCTAGAGTGTACCCACCCCTGCCCACCACCTCCCCCGTGGCACGGGCCGGAATAAGCTAAGGATGCCGGTGTCCACGTACCCCACCACCCACTGCCCGGTTCCACCAGGCCCTGGGACCACAGCATTATGCTTCCCCTCACCCTGAGCCCTCACTGTTCCCTCCCTGGAGGTGGCCCGGTGCCATCTGGGAGGCGCTGGTCCCCGCAGTCAGGACTCCTGGCGCTTTGGCCACACGACCAAGCACTCCATTTCCCCTGCTGTAGAACAGGGAGCTGCAGGCCAGCAGTGGGGTCGTCAGCAGCCCTGCAGCCTTCACTGTTGCCTGGACTGCCTCTCTGTCCTAGAGGGGTCACCCTGCCCGGGCCTGCCCCGACAGAGCCTGGCAGTGCTGGCTCTGCCCCTTGAAGGGGCTGTGAGCAGAGCAGGAGGGAGCTGGTCTCCTTTCTTTGGGCCCCACCCAGGACCCAGGCCTTAAGTCCCCAGTTGGGGGTGAGGGCTCTGAGACTCAAGCCCAGGGAGCAGAGGAACAGGGCACTGGAAGGCGACATTAGCTCAGCATGTGACTCGGTGATAGACCAAGCTCGGAAGGGCTGGTATATGTGTTGTTGTTGTGGGTTTGTTGTTGCACATTCCAGGATATCAGTATTTTAACAGGTTCTAAGTGCCTTTCTATCGTAGCTTATGTTTTTCCTCCTCTTGGCTCCATTGCTGTTAGCATAGAGTTTAAAAAAGAAAAAAAAAAAGAGATAAGCTAATGACTATAACAATATATTCCTCCATGTGAGAGGAAGTTTATAAAGAAACAATAAAATGAGTTGCAAAGATGGTTTCTGTCTTGGCTGTGCCGTAAGTGGGGCTGCCCTGCTCGAGAACCCCAACCGTCCTGTGCCTGGTATGGGTTGCCCACTCCCAGAATACGGCACTCAGGAGCCCCGTTCCGGGGCTTCCTTCCAACCCAGAGGCTGCCACAACTGCCAGGTCTGCTGCTAGGAGGGGGTGTGTGCTGAGGGGGCGGAGATGGAAGATTCTGGACGAAGCATCATGGGTTCATGTCCTCACCTTGCCACTACCTGCTGTGACTTTGGTGAGCGCCTTCGCTCTGGGGGAGACACGACTCCCTGGCCTCTGTCCAACAAGAGTCTGGCAAAGGCTTCTCTTTCCCAGCCGCACTGGAGCATTCCACCCAGATTCCAGAGATGCTAGGGGAAAGGCGGGCTGTGGCAGAGCCGGGGCGCAGGGCTCTGTACCCGGTGGGAAGGGTGAGGAAGGCCTGAGGACAGTGAGACTGCAGGAGGGGCCTGGTGTGGGGGCCGTGAGGGCAGAGTGGCTGCAGCCGGTCCGGGGAAGCTCAGCGGGCAGGGCTGGACTGGCTGGCTCCTGGCCAACCTCACCCACCCCAGCCCTGCGGGGTATCAAGGGCGTGTTAACAGGGATGCAGTGCCACTGCCTCCCCCTCCCCGCTGGCAGGAAGAGCAGCCCACCTGCTGGAAGCTGGATGTGTGCACTGAGAAATGCGGAAAAGACATTTATTACCAAACTATAAATTAAGAGGAGGTGGGCAGGGTGCAGTAGGACGAGCTGAGTGGTCACGTTTTGGGCATCTGTTCCTTCTCTCTGTTCTCCTGGGCCTGGATCCTGAGCTCCTCCTGCAGGCGCTCCCAGGCTCGGACCACCTGGGGACGGAGTTAGAACCAGGCAGGGCAGTTGAGTGGGATGGCCCTCTGCCCTTCCCAGGCTCCGCACGGCAGTGGGCAGGTCTGAGCTAAAAGCTTGGGAAACAGAAGTGCCCCCTTTACCAGTGTCCAGCATTCCCAGGGGGACAAGGCCCAGGCACACCGCGCTGTCCACCAGCTAGTGGTCCTGTTCCCTCAGAGCCATGGCTGCTGGGAGGGCCACTGTCCAGGGTGACATGGGGCCCAGGCCAATTCAGTCCAACCAGTCAGGTCCTGTGAAGCTGAGGCAGCTGGAAGGAGTGGCAGTTTAGGGGGGCCTCCCTGAGGCTGGGGCACCAAGGAAGGGCCCGGCACACCTTCCTGCCTGCCAAGTTCTGAACTGCCTAGGAATGAAGGATCCCCAGTGAGAAGAGGCGCCTTGGCTTGCCCCCCTCCCAGCATCAAAGAGCACTCACCTTGGACTGCAGATAGAAGGAGCCACCCACGGATTTATCGTTCACCTTGAATAGGTGTTCATAGTTCTGCAGGGGAGGGGAGACGGTGAGAGGGTGTGCGGTCTCGGGGTTACAGAGGCAGGGGAAGCTAGGAAATGACAAAGAAGGAAAGCCAAAGGGTTCAACCCTGATGCCCCGCGTGTCCCACTATGCAACCCCGGAAGCCACTGTCACTGCTCAAGGACAGAGAAGTGGACAGGTGCCCACGGGGGGAAGGGGCTCTGTCTCTGCCACTGCTTGCCTCGGGCCTAGAAACGAAGGAGTGACAAGCAGCTCCCGCAACTCAGGAGTCCAAGCTGGGTGCAGCCACAGCCTCCACATCTGCCTCTTTCCACCAGGCCACCCTCACTCCTCCTGATCCTGGTGGCCTGACCCCTCAGCCTGCCATTCTGGTCTGCCCAGGCAAGACCGGTCTTAGAGTGCCAGCCTGGTAGTCTCACCTTCTGGATCTCCTCGGGGCTCAGCTTGGAGACATTGAGAATCTGCTGGGCCTCCTGGAGGCTGAGGCCAGACAGGTTGGAGGCAGCTGCAGACTGGTGTCCAGCACGTCCTCGAGCATCAGCTGCTGCCCGGCTGGCTATATGGATACCGGGGTGAGTGCTCAGCCCTCAGCGGCCCAAAGGTTCCCCTGGGCCTTCCACGTGGGCAGCTCAGCCCACCAGGTACATGGGAGAAGATACGCGCAGGGACCAGGGGGCAGCCCTTTTCCAGGAGTGGGTTTTTTTGGGGGACTGGATGGGGAACATATGAAGTGAGGACTGACCCCACTGGAGGAAGGGGCAGGTTCTGGTCCCCAAGACCATGAGATGTCCCTCTTCTCTCCCCTACCCCCTCATCCCAAGTGACAGCAAGTTGGGGAGCTTGAGGCTACAATGGGAAGTAGGATGAAGCTGTAGGTAGGAAGAGGCAGTAACAGCTCAGTTGAGACCTGGCTGCCCACCAGCTACCTAGGCCACAAAGCAGGTGGTTCGGGTGACCTCTTCCCTTTCAATGGCCCTAGAATCAGTAGCCATTAAGCTTTTTCTTAAAGGTCAAAGAGTAAATATTTTAGGCTCTGCAGAACAATTAAAGTCTGTGTTGTAATTACTTGACTCTGCCTTGTAAGCAACCAGAGGGTATGGCTGTGTTCCACTAAAACTTTATTTACGAAAACAGGTGGCCAGGTGAACCAGCCTGCCAACTCCTGCCTCCCTGTTCATGTCAACCGGTTTCCCTTTCATGAGAATGTCCCAAAGTCCAACAATGTCCCTCACCCCCGGAAATGCCCCAGGCTGCCAGAGGGTCCCTGCATTCACTATGGGCCCAAGGTGAACGGCCATAGATAGGAAGGAAACCCCCAGCCCAGGGGGAGCCAGGGGCTCAGGCTTACCTGCAAACTCCTGCCGCAGGGCCCGGGCAAAGGCCCTGCCCACCACCTGCACCCCCATCACAATAATCTGGGCCAGGTATTTGGCCTGTGGACAAAGCAGGTACCTGGTTAGCAGGCTGCATTCTCCAGAGATGGGACCCTGGAAAAGGCTGCCGAGTGGCTAGGTCTCTGAGGTAATGAATAATGAAGCACAAGCAGCAGGCACAGGCAGCTCCTTCCAAAGTACCCTGATAAAGAGCCTCTGCTCTGGGTGGCTTCAGAAGCAATACTATGGCCTAGATCCAGGACCAGGGGCTGGTCCCAGACCATTAACTCACCCTGCCATCCCAGGCCTTCTGTGCTTCTGAGATTGGCGGCTCCCACCTTTCTTCAACCAGCAGGGAATCTCAGGTAGCCTGGAGCCACCTCAATTCTCCCAAGATTATTCACCACCACTCCAATCAACACAACAAAAGTGAACAAGACTCTCCACCTTTAGGCAGCAAAAAGCCCAGTAGAGGGTCATTCAGACAAAGGTACCGAGGGCCAACTGCTGAGGGAGAGGACTGGCCACCAGTTCCTCCACTGGTTCAAACACATGCAGTCAGCTAAGCTCTGCTCAGC